ATTGTAGTTAAAGACAGATAAAAGCAACCCTCCGAGATCTTGGCTGGGCATACTTTCAACAGTTTTGTGTAAATGGGACAATAGATTTAGAGTGCAGAGCCAGCCGTTAGTCCCTCAGGGTCTTTGGAAGATGCTGCAGTCAGGAAGGAAGGGAGACAATGCAAGGCCTTCCTTTCCATGATGCCCTTGTTTGGCAGATGGGCAGTGCCAGACAGATGGTGATGGGTCATGCTCCTTTTCTTTTCAAGTGACCCGATCTTGCCAAAGGACACTTGGCACTCCAGGAAGGATGCGGTACTCTCTAAAGAAATGCCAGAAGGCTTGTTTGACCTGTAGAAGCGTGAAGAGGCAAAAATTCTCTTCAGGTACCATAGATGCTTGACTAAGGTGTCGCCCCAAAAGAGATAAAGAAGGTTATTATTCAGTGAGCATTTGGCCAGACTGACAGGACAGACAGACAGACCGATTCAGAAACCCCTCGCCTCACTTGCAGCACGAGTCTGTCTCTCTCATTAGATGCTTTCAGGCTTTGTACTTTTATGAATTTTTTTCAGGTTTCTGGGTAGTCTATTGAATACTTATGCCATACTATTTAATCAATCCCTACAAGGAAATTATTAGTTTAAAAGGTGTTTATTAGCCAAATGTAGTGGCTCACTACTGCAGTCCCAACACTTGGGAGGCTAAGATAGCTGAGAGTTTTGGGCCAACTCAAACTAAAAATGAGAAAAAGGGTATTTATTATACTTTGCACTAGAGTTAATATCCTGGTTCTTTTTTGTGTGTACCTCTGATCATAACATTAGTATGATTTCCTAGAAATGGAAGCATTGGACTTTCATTATACAACACCCAGCTAACTTCCAGAGGGTTCCACCAATGTGTATTTTCTGTCTGGTGTTACCCGAGTGTCATTTCACCTACTTTTATCATTACCATGATATAGCTATTTAAAACATTTGAGTTTTCATATAATAAACAATAATATTAACTAATGTATTTATGTTTACAATGCCAGGCACTGTTCTAGGTAGCACTTTCTGTATATGAAAGAGGCAGAATTTTAAGAGGACCTCCCACAGAAAACCTACCCCCAGTACACACCCCATGTAACTCTCGGGAGTGTGACTATGTCACACTCTGTCCTGTGGTACTGCTATCTTATGTTGCCAAAGAGACCTTGGAGATGCAATTAAGGTTTTTGATAGTTGGCAATTAAGATAAAATGGTTCTGACTTATCACAAGAACAGTTTCCTTGTTTGGGGACTTGTGGAGAAATCAAAGGATTCCAAGTAGGAAAAGGAGCTGGTGAGATGAGAGAGCAGCTTTGCCTGGTTGCCTTGAAGACGGAGGCCGTGAATGGCAACGGAAGCAAGCAACCCACCGTCCCTGAGTTGGTCCTGGCTTATAATAAGCAAGTACACGAGAGTGTCCATCTTAACACCTCAGGTAATTGCAGCTGATGTGGGCATGGATAGTTTTGCACGTAGGTCTTTGCTCAAGAGCAGTCTGGTTGCAACTTTGGTTTCAGCCGAACCCTGTTCCAAGTGAAGAGCTCAGCTGAGCAATGCCAGGCTTCAGAACTGCAACGCCATGAGCTAAGACAGGGACACTGATTTTTACAAACCCTGGGGGACAGAAACCAGGTACAAGGAGATTCAGTGACCAAATCGGAGGTAATTTGAGCATCAAAATAAATATAGTAGTGTTTCAGGCCCCCAGACCTTAGTAGGCCTTCAGACCTTAGCACAGTTGACACCATGATAGAAGTATCATTCAGGCCATAAAACTCACTACAGACAGTACCACCTGCCAAACAAACAAAAGATTTAATCTATCTAAGTCCATAGTTCTGGAAAAGTCTCTAAATACTAACCTTGATTTTTGACTATGTAGTTCTGCTTCTTGCTAACTGTGCTTGCTTTGAAGTACATCAACCCAGGGTATGGTTTCTGCAATTAAAGCTCACCCTCAGAAAGGTTTGGGTGTACACTTGGATCCCAAACACCCAATGTAGTTAGCCGCTGGCTAGTTAGTAAAGACTTTCTATTGGCTTAACCCCATATCCAAGTAGGCCTCTCTGGTGGAACCCCACAACAATAGCTGATGATAACCTATTGGATAGAGTAAATCTGGGTAAACAAATACATAAATTATGTATCCAGTGGGTAAACCTTATTCATTTCAAACTTAGCTCTCACAAAGCACTAATTGCGGGTGAAAAGAGCAACTGAGCGGTAGGATCTTTGACAGAGACTGCTTTAATTAAATGTTGGAAGTGACACTAGGGGCAAGTGTGAACCAGACTGCAGGATGAAGAGCACAGCCTCTTGTCCTGACCTACCGTGCATCTAATCACCAGGAAACGCCAGACGAGCCCAGCCTAAAGGACAACCCACAGGGAAAACTGGCATGTAGTCTACAATGTGTCGCGATCACCAGTGTCAAAGGCAGGCGGCACAGCAATACTGGCTGGAGGAGGTTAAAGGGACACAGCAACTACACGCAGGGCTTGCTTCTGAGCGGGGGCTCTTGCTGTGAAGGGCATTGCTAGAACAATTGGCAAAACTCAAGTGCCCCTGGACGATGAGTTGATAGCAATGTTGTCGATGTTAGATCTTGCCAAGGGCCGTCTAGTGGCTGCATGGGAGATGGTTTTGTTTGTAGGATGATTCTCTCAAGAGTGTACGAGTGGTGGGTAATAAGGGCAGCAACTTCCGTGAGATCGAAGTCTCCCTCAGAAAATAGACTTCGCTGATGGTTTCAAAATATATAGAAGTTAGTTTAAAATAAAACCTTAAGAGGAAATGTTTTTTCTTCTTTTAAAAAGAATGTGTTATAGAGCAAAAATCTATTGTATTTGCATTGATTTTTTTTGGTGGCATTTTCATGTGTAGCTTTGTAGTCATTTACATAGTATGTATATATATTTATACATGCATAGTAAATGTATATATGCATGTGGTATTTGGGTTCTCTAGAGGAACAGAACTTACAGAATGAATGTTTATTAGATTGCCTTTACAGGCTGTTTTTCAGCTATTCCAAGAATTGCTGTCTACCAATGGAAGGTTCAAGAATCCAGTAATTGTTCAGTCCATGAGGCTGACTTTCTCAGCTGATTTTTAGTGTACACTGGAATCCCAGAGAAGCAGGCTCTTATGCCAGTGAAAGAATGGATATGTGATTGAGAGCAAGCAGCCAAAAAACAAAACAAAACAAAACCCAGCTTCCTTGTAGACCGGGTTGGCCTCGAACTGACAGAGATCTGCCTGCCTCTGACTCCCGAGTGCTGGGATTAAAAGCATATGCCACCACCAGGTGGCCCTAGGATGATTTAATTGGGAAAAAATTCCTCACAGGTATACCCAGACCCCTGAGTTTTAGTTAATTCCAGATGTAGTCAAGTTAGTCAAGAATAGCCAACACAAGTCCACCGTTTGTCAACTTGACACACAATCATATCTCCTTATGTCATGCTTAATTTTTAAATGAAAACAATATCCAGGTTATAATTACATCTAACATGATGTATTTATCTCATGTACAATCACAAACATATTATATATTTAATGAGGGCACAGTTATGCTAAACATGATATAACTATCCCTCATACAACCACAAATGACAATAAATTTTAGAATAGGTAGCAATGTCCCTGGAGGGTTATTCTTTTAGTATCTCAAACTTAAATATGATAACCATTGATATTCTCTTAATTGATGTTATATTACATGATAAAGAAATCGAGGAAAGACAACACAAATGTCTGTACGAAAACATTCTTAATTTATGGTTGGCTTTATTGAATCACATGACTAAAATTAAATCAACCATGAATCATGATGTTAGAGCCAACATGAACTCTATAGTTGACTAGGCCTGGTGTTAGTTATCTCTGATCTGTGGTGGCATCAGGGCCTGTTGTGATCAGATGAAGGGGGAAAGAAGACCTGCCAGGAACACAGAAAATACCGAAGAAGTCACTATAGGTGTTCTGATTTTTCACCTAGGCAGCACTGGGTAGTCATTTTTGCTCATTAAAATCTTTAACAATTGTCCCTTGAAAACTTCCTAAAAGTAGGATTATTAGCCATGGTGATAACTTACTGGAAACTATGTTACAGGGTTGTTCTTTTGAAGCATGTGTGTGTTCAATAATTTCTCTCTCTCTTCTCCGTCACTCTCTTATAAGCGACAGAGACAGCCAAGAAGCGGCAGATCCAAGGACATACTGCAGTCACAAAATGCATCTTGGTGGTGGGAGGGTTTTGATGAGTATCCTCTCTGGCCAGTTAAGGAAGGGAACCTGGCGGCTCTTTCACTGGGAGCAGCTGGGCCAGTTTTCTGACATAGGCTGGCAGCCCCCCGTCTCTGAGCCCAGTGGAGCTTGGTAAGGCTTGTGCTTCTGCTTGGCCTTCACCCTCCCAGTGAGTGCTTTCAGTTTGAAACTCCCAAGAGGCTGTACAGATGCCTCAGTGTGAGCAGCAGGTGCTGGCCTGGGATCTGCATCTCACCCTTTCCAAGGCTCTTAGGAGGGCAGAATGAATCAGAAGACATGTTTTCAAGTATGACGTGGATAACACCACTATATCCTTTAATAGGCCAATAGCAGAAGGTGTGACCCTGATGTGGGTTTCCCCTCTCTATGCTGTGAATATTATTGGTTAATAAAGGAACTGCTTTGGGCCTATAGCAGAGCTGTAGGGGAACAGAGCTAGGCGGGGGGAAACTGAACACAGTGCTGGGAGAGAGAGAAGTTAGAGAGAAACCATGGAGCCCTGCCAGAGTCTGACAGAATTTTACCCAGTAAGTTACTGCCACATGGCAATACACAGATTAATGGAGATGGGTTAAATTAATATGTAAGAGTTAGCCAAAAAGAAGCTAGAGCTAATAGACCAAGCAGTGATTTAAATAATATGGTTTCTGTGTGCTTATTTTGGGGCTGAGTGGCTGGGAACCAACAAGTTGCTCTCTGTTTACTACATGACCCAGATTAAAAGAAGATCTTTCCGACCTCCCTACACCCGCTCCACCGAAAATTGGGCCCGTGGTTGTCCACCGCCTGACATCTGCAAGCTGCATGCCCATGAGTGCTCACTTGGAATTTGCAATCAGCGATAGCAGCAATGACTTCAAAATGGAGAACTAATGAATCTTGGTATTCTCACCCAGTATATGCAAGATATTGGCAACATTATCATCACGCAATGGTTTGGATGCGAACCCACCAGAATGTCTACAGGAAGTCCAGGAATTCCTGTCTCGCTTCCCCATGGTTCTACCCTCAAGGAGTTCTTCCCTGGAACTCTGTTGATTATGAGGCTGGGCATCCTTGGAACTATCAAGGCCAACACGTGGTCTGGCAGGAGCCTCCCTACAGTGTTTCCCATCTCCAAAGCTCTGGGCAGCCTCTATATGATAGCAGTAGAATCCAGGCCACCACAAGAGAAGATGAAGCCTCATATGAAGAGGAAGCGATGGAGTTGGATTCAGATAATGAAATAGAATGTGACCTGAGCAATATGGAAATCACGGAGGAGCTCCGCCAGTACTTTGCAGAGACTGAGAGGCACAGAGAAGAGCGGCAGCGACAGCAGCAACTAGAAGCCGAGCGCCTGGACGACTATGTAAATGCCGACCATGGGCTGTACTACAACCACCACCGGTCCACAGAGCCTCCCTCAGAGAAGCCTGGGGAGCGGCGTCAAGCCGAGATGAAGCGCTTGTATGGGGACAGTGCTCCCAAGATCCTGGCCATGGAGGCTGCTGTGCAGATGAGCTTTGACAAGTACTGTGACAAAAAGCAGCCAAAATACTGGCCTGTCATTCCTCTGAAGTTCTGAGTCGTGGGCACAGGGACCTTGGGGAAAGCCTCCTGAACACAGTTCCTCACCTCCCTCCTCTGGATATGTTCTCTTCATTTCTCCTGGACATTTTTCAGAGAAAGAGGCCTGTATACCAACACAGTGGATATGATCTGTCAGCCACTTAGAATTCTGTCAGCAGGAGGTACACTGTTGCCAACACAAGAAATGTCCCCTTTACATAAAGTGATAATCATATATATTATACTTATTATACTGCCTCTTGATTAACTCCCTAATAGAGTTCAGTTCATGGACATTTTTGCCTAGAGATACAATGGCTTGCATTTGTAATTTCCTTCTTTAAGTCTTCCTTGTTGTCACAAAAGCCTTAAGCTACATGTCATTTTTTTTTTTTTGAGACCAGTTCTCATATAACCCAAGTTAGCCTCAAACTCTTAAATCCTCCTCCTTCCACATCCCAACTGCTAGCTTACAGATGTGCGCCCCATTGTGGGCTCTAATCCACATGTTCTCACTGACTGTAACCCTTTGAATCCCTCTGAAAATGATACGAGAGTACAGTAAGGAAAATACCACTTGCTATTCAGCGAGGTGTCAGCCTACATGCTCTCTAAAAGGCCTGAGAGCAATGCTCTGGGCTTGGCAGGCCATGTTCTCTGTCTCCTAACTGCCTAACCCTGACTTTATAGCGTCAAAACAGCCTTGGATACTGAGTAAACAAATGGACTGGACTGTGTTCCAATAAAACTTTATTTGTAAAATACAAAAAAAAAGATCTTTCCACCTCAAAAGATCTGGGTTAAAGGTATACCTTCCTACTTTAAAAGTGGGTTGCTGGAGCACACCTTTAATTCTAGTTCTTGGGAGTCAGGGACAGGTGGGTCCATAAAATCAAGGCCAGTTTGGTCTACAGAGCAAGTTAAGGACAGTCAGTGCTACACAGAGAAATTCTGCCTCAAAACATGGATGTGTGTTTGTGTCCCACTTTGAATGAGTTATGTAAGAAAAGTGTGTGTGTGTGTGTGTGTGTGTGTGTGTGTGTGTGTGTGTACATCTGTGCTGGTGCCTGTGTTTGTATGCATTCACCTGTGTGTGCACATCTGGAGACCAGAGATCTACATGAGGTGTCCTGCATCTCTCCACCATCATTTTTTGGGACAGGGTATTTCAGTGAAATGTTTATCACTGTTTGGGCTAGGATGGCTAGCCAGAAAAGCTCCCAGGGGATCCACCTGTCTGATTCCTCCAGCCCTGTGGTTACAAGCATACACTGCCATGGCCAGCTTCTACATAGACCCAGGGCCCTCATACCCTTGTCCTTGCTTGTTAAGCACTTTATGTCTCCCCCAGCCTAGGTATTTTTATACACTTTTATTAAATAAGAATATTCTTATTTTGTACTTTGCTATAGAATGGTGTATTTATGCATAAGCTATATGTCATCCTTTAAACTTGCTATAATATTAACATGTTATGGTCTCTTTTTGAGTATGAAACATGCTGTGCCATTAGAGTGTGAAGATTTGGTTTTAAAAGTCACTGAGTACCTTTCAGCAAGTTTGCTGATGCTGTCATGTTATTATATCAGATAAACCTCAGACGGCAGCTGGGAGTGAGATCTGGTGGCAGTTAATTTAATCCTGTTCTTGGAAGAAGAGTCGTGTGTGCCGTTTACACACCTTGTGTCTTCTCACATTTCCCTGTGGACAGGACCAGGAGTATCATTTTCTAAATCCAAATAGTATTTGGGATGCTAAGATTGATTGATTTTTATTCCTCGCTCTTCCTCAAATCCCCAGTCACTAACGCTTCAAGTGAACCCGTGACTGCCTCACCTTGTTCCACCGCTGCCGATAATGAGTCCATTGCACACCCTCCCTGCTTATGGTTCGGGGTGGTGAGCCTGCAGAGCTGATGGCCGGTGAGGACGTGTTCTTCACTTCGAGAGGCATCCCATAGTGATGCTAACAGAAATCACATCTCTTTGGAGGCTAATTTCAATGAAGAGAAAGGAGTCTTTGCCACTTCCTATAAGGTCCCTCCAGCTAACGTAAACCCTTTTGAGCTGATGTCAGCATTCAGACCATGGCACTGAGGTCATCTTTAAGGGACTATTAGGAGTTTGCTTGCTTGTGTTTTACGATGATGATGTGTGCACATTTCCACTGAATATATGTAGGATTAGAATGGCAAGGCAAAAATAGCTGAACAATTTTCCTGGAGAAAATACACGGATTTACACCCCCCTACTAGCCACCTAAGTGTTCTGTTCTTCTGCTCTTCCTCTGTCACCAAGCATTTTGTGTTCTGTTTTAGCTTCCATAGCGTGCTGATGGTGCTATCATATTGCAACTTAAATTGAATTTCCTTAACGAGTGAAGTAAAATGTCTTTTAGTATGGGAAGGTGTCTTTTTGTTGTGAACTGTCTGTTCAGGTTTTCTGCTCCTTTTTTTAATGGCTTGTCAGCTTTTATCTTATTAATTTATATGTGCTTTTGAAATATGTTTCTGGACCCACACTTTTATGAGGAAAATGCTAGGACAGCAAATGCATTTCCATAATGTTTATGTTGCCAGTTGCCTTTTCATTTCCTTACAGAAGTTCTTAGTTTAATATTGCCCAACTTCTTACCTTTCCACTTTGGATTAGCATTTGGTAAAGAAATCTCTTCAACTCCAGTTTCCCGGACTTTCTTTTAGCGGGGGGGGGGGGGGACTTCATCTCATGTACCTCAGGCTGGCCTCAAATTCACTGAAGATGACCTTGAATTTTGAATTTCTGGTCCTCCTGCCTCCCCCAGTGCTGGAATAATTAATACCATACCTAATTTTATGTGTGCCAAGGATTGAATGTAGGGCTTTATACATGCTAGGCAAATGCTCAACCAACCGAGGTGGATCCCTGGCCTTTTGCAAGCCTGGGTGTTCCCTTCCCACACACATTTTTCTCTGTGTGTACAGTCTTGACCTTGAATTCCCCATCCCTCTCTCCGAAGTTCAGAGTAATGCACTACATGCTGATCTTTGATATTTTGATTGGGCATGTTGTAGTTAATCATTCTAATTTATCTGTTATCGATTACTACTAACAAGTGGTAGTTAGTATTTCTTATTATTGACTATTATAGTTTTATTTTTTTATTTTTATTTAAGGTAGGGTCTCACTATATAGCCAGCCATTTCTGGCCTCAAACTCAGAGACCCAGCTGCATTTGCCTCCTGAGTGCTGAGATTAAAGGTGTGTGTCAACCATTCCTAGCACATTCGTTTCTCTTTTGGATTTATTTTTATCTTACATGTATGAATGTTTTGGCTGCATGTATGTCCAAACTCCACATAAATGGCTGGTGCCCTTGAAGACAGAAAAAAGTGCATCAGATCACCCGACTGGAGCTACAGATCACTGTAAGCTGACTTGTGTGTACTGTGTACCGAACTCAGGACCCTCTGCAAGAGCAGCAAGTGCCCTTACTCACTGAGAAATTTCCTCAGCTCTTGACGGTACATTTAAATCCAAGAAGGAACTCCTATGTAGCCAACTCCTCACTATCCTTGACATGTATGATCACTGACCGGCTTACCCTCATTCCTACTCCACAGGCAAAATCTAGAAGATAGAAACCTATTATTCCTTTCCTATTTCTAACTTTAATAAAAACTTATTTTTTTCACAAAACAATTTTAAAATCATTGTTTGGGTGACACAATGTGATTCCTTCACAAGAGGTTGTGAAGTCAGAGAGAGGTGAAGCATTGCCACTTCCGTTAGGACTAGGTTGAAACTACCCGGGGAAAGGGGCGGAGCCAGGCCTTCCCTAACTTCCTAGTGTCTCTCAGTACACCCTCTTACCGCCACAGTCTCACCGCGGTCCAGTGCTACACTGCCCACATCAACCAGTAAGTAATGATCCGACTGGGTACATGGAGTGTGTCTTCCTGAAGAGGAGTAGCTCAGGAGACTATTACCAGCTTCGGAGTTACCCCACTCTGCCTCCTCTCAGCAGCAAATTTGCATTGAGAGGAGACATGAGACTTTTTTTTTTTAAATGACTTAAACTTGAGGAGTCTAGAAAAAGGAAACAGGAAATAAATGATTTTCTTTTTGTTCTTTCTTTGCTTTCCTGTCACCTTTTCTCTATTTCCTTCTAAATGTCATCTTAACACCTCTAATTGTGAAAATTTTACTTTTCTTTTTGCCTTTACTTATCAGCACAGAAATCTTTTCAAATCTCACCTGGCAATAGCACCACGAATAAACATTGCTTCCCTATTATAACTATTTCATTCCCTCAAGATACGTTAGCCCCTACATCTCACGGCGCTGTCACTGAGCAGTTTCGTAGTCTTTGTTGCTTAATAGACCGCTATTTTTTATTGAAATTAAAAAACTTTCATATAATATTTACAAGAAAATTGCTTCCTGTATAATTGATCCTTTGTGGAAAAGCTATTCATTCTAGGGCATTACAAACCCACAGACACATTCTCTTGCCTCGCGTCTTTTTTGTATTGCTTTTTTAGCAGTTTAATTAAATCGTGGAGTACTTTTCCTTTCTTCTCCCAGTACCACCCACACACCCTTCTACGCACTTTCCTCCACCTATGTTGGAGCTGAGCGTTCTACTCTAGTAGAGCTTTTCAATGGAGGATTTTGCTAGACGGAAATCTCCTGTGATACTTTTGGGGAAGCAATGACAGTGATGTTTTCTAAGACATCCGTCTATATGGCCGTGTAATTCTCTAGAACAGTTTCTAGACTGCTTTAAATGAGGGGCCCGAAGGCTCTTTTCTGTGCGTGTGCTTTGTATTATTCCAGCATTTTTGCAGTTGAGAATTTTGTGTGGTTGGAAATTACAGAACCTGACCGCAGTAACGTGGGGATTTATTTTCCTCATAATACCATGTCCAGAGGGAACTGTACAGGGTAAGAACAGCAGAAAGAATCTTGATGCCAACGGTCTGGCTTCCTCTCGGCTTCCTTCTCTGTGATGCCTGTGTGTATCTTTCATGCAAGCAGACCCTCTATGACTGTTTCTCCATATCTGGCTTTACCCTTGCATTTCTGGCAGGAAGAATGGAAGGTCAGGGAAGTGTGTGTGTGTGTCAGGGTGGGAA